CGGGACCGTGTGAGGAGGGCACCCCATCCACCCTTTGCCTCCACCCGGCTCCCCTTGGCACTACCCAGTCTCTGTATCTACTTCTGATTCCAAACGTGCAGCGAAGAACTGCTCCCCTGGGATCAAACCAGTTTGCCTTGCTGGCTCCAAATTCAAGATCAAATTCAAGCACAGCTCGTACGTATCAGGCAGCCAGGCCTTCCTCCCAACAACCCCATGAATCAGGTACTATACTATTATCATCCCTTTTGACAGGTGAAGCACAGGGAGGCCGAGTCACTGCCCCAAGATCGCACAGCCAGAGCGTGAGTTAAGGCATCATAAATGATGACTGGATGTAGACAGCCATCACACAACTGAAAACAAGGCACTCTAAATTCTGGGTTTGCCCAAGAGTGAATTTCCCCAGCGCCACAAGTCTTTGACAGGCTCTCCACTACCGCTACAACCATATTATCTATCCTGAGCATTGCTTCTGATGCCTCCCCTTCTGAAATAAAGAAGCTCCTCCAACGCAGCCTTGTTCTCCATCTTCTGCGAAGGCCTTTCCCCTAGCCCGGGGCCACCTCCTAGCCCTCACCATGTGGTCTCGGTTCTTCACCCCCCCAGGACACTGGACCTCACAGATTCCACAGCCAAGAGGAAATCCCTGAACAACCCTAGGGCCTCCTCTACCAGCCCCTGAATTCCATCCTCCCAGCAGACACCCCCAACCTCAGAAAACTCCCCTGGAGCTGGCAGCTCTCCATGGGTACCACTCCCTTCCAGCCAGGCTTCTGCCCACCAGGACCTCAGAGCTCCATCATGAATAGCGACATTCCACAGAATTTAGTGTTTCGTTGTCTTCCTTTTGCCTTTGTGTTACCAGCTACTATCTCCAGGTGGTTTTCAGTCAGTACCTTGCACATCATTTGCATTCAAAGGTGGATACATTTCACAGATAATTTACGTCCACCAGGATGCAAAACCGCTCATGCCCACGGACACTGGCGGCCTCAAAAGCCACACACGGAAAGGAAGACAGCAACCATGCTCAGGTGATAGGATTATGGCCTCTTCATCACACCTTTTCCTTCAACATGATCTTTTGTGGCAAGGGTTAAGAACGGAAGGGCGGGAGATGGCACCCTAAAGCCCCAGATCGCAGGCCTGGTTGTTGCTTTTTGTGACATCTGAAGCCCTTAGCCCCATTCAGGCCAGACACAGTCCAAATAGACCGAAAGTCCTTCAAGGACAGAACCCATTTCTCACTCATGCCCATATCCCTCTGCATTAAGGAATATGGAGAAATTTCCAGAAAGCCATCTAGGTGAAATGCTTCTGAGCAAGTTCTGAGTTTCTTCTCAACTCAAACTAAAACTTTTAGAAAGCTCTGTTTACCCTTTCCCACCCGAGTTGCCCCTGGAGCACTTCAACTTCGAATGGGTCCAGGACAGGGAGCTACAGAAGCCCCATCAGCCCCCAAACCAACCAGTCCCTTAGTGGGAATCGTTCTTATAAAAAACACCAACCCAACTGTCACATTCTTGTGCAAAGCAAGATGCCCTCCCATCCCTCTGGTCTCATCCGGGAGCTGGTCCCTTCTTCTGACACAACACCCTGGACAGGGCATCTGGGGTGAAAGCAGAAAGATGAAGTCCCCGAGCTGCTCTCTGCAGCCGCCCCTGCCCGGTCCACACCCCCACTCAGGCCACCTCTCGGAATGACAACCAAAAGGTGTTTCTTCTGCACACTTGGCATTCTCCAACCGAGTTATTTATAGAAGTGTCCTTCTTAGTTGGGGGGGGGGGGGGAGGAACAGTTCTTACAAGAAGGTGGCCCAGAGCAGCCAAATCCTGGGGGCATCTGTGGGCTTGCTGTCCCAGGTGAAGGAGGCTGGGTGCTAGGGATCAGCCCCCCATGCCCCACCCCTCCCGTTTCCAACAGGAAGGACAGGATTTGCTGCTCATCTACCAGGTCCACCCTGCAGGTATCAATGTCAGCTCCCCACAGCAGAGCGTTCAGCCCCCCCATGCCACCTCCTCCAGGAAGCCCTCCCGCCCCAGGCTGCCTCCTCTACTCTGCCCTCTGCTCTGCCCTCACCCCCGGGAGGAGAGGGACACCGCCCCCACCCCCACCCCCACCCCCAGCTGCTCTGGGCCTGGACAAGAAAATGCATAGTTAACATTTGCTGAAAGAATGCAGTGCCCTCAAAAGGCACAACCACCTGTGCAATGCAAGGGGCGGGGGAGTGTTCCCCAGGACTCAGAGGCTCCAGCTATTGGAACACCAGGAACTAGAAAGGAGGCGGCAGGGTGAGTCCACAGCCCCTGCCTCCTCTGGTTGGAAAATAAATCAGCACTCCCCGCAGGGGGTGAGAGGACCCTTGGACAATGGAGACAAACCTAGGCCTCCAGCAGACGGGTCCCAGCTCCCTCGGGCCCTATGAGACAATGAGAGGCCAACAGTGTGAATGGTGGGCCTGTACACCTACTATGTACCAGGCACCCTGCACAGAGCTTTCAATTCCTGTTAACACAATGGACTCTCCACAACTTCCCTGGGCGAGGGATGGTTGGGGACCCCATCTCACAGACGAGGAAGGGAGGAAGAGAGTGACAAGGACCCAGGCACCATCCACCCCTTTGCACCCCATGGTAGCTTGGGCGCACCCTTTCTGGAACTCCAGGCTTCTCCAGCTTCGCTGGGCCATGACTCTGGGGTTCTATTAGGGTTCACACCCCATTTTCACCCAAACCCCATTCCTCAAACTCTGGGGCATGAGGGAGCCTCGCAGAGCCCCTTAACAAAAGCTGCCGACACAAGTGCCCCATCAGGGCAAGGGGCCTGGCAGGCACTTCTACAAGATGGGGGGTCATGTTCATCCCCCACTCCTTCCCTAAATGTCCACATGCAGCCTGATTCTGGATACCCCAAGTGGGCAGATATGGCAAGCAGACCTGCATCCAGCCACACCCCTCCCTCTCCCAGAGCAGACATCACAAACCGATCCAACACAGGGCTCAGGCAGGCATCACCAATCAATGGCCAACCGACACAAGGTCCACACCCCTCTTAGTCCTGGCCAGGCCCAAGCTGGCCCTCTCCAGGCAGCACAACTCAGAAACAGCAGAAACACAAAAAGCAGAAATGTCCAACAGTGGAAGATGGTTCAAAAGTACATCCACTTGATAAAATACTCTTCAGGCACCATGACTCCTGTTTTTGAAGCATGTAACATACACAAATTTGTAAATGCTCCTACGATAGTGTCGCGTGAAATGTATAGACAGACACGGAAAAACTGCAAAGACACACTAGACTATTAATAGACTATCTCCAGATTTCTCTTTAGCTTCTCAGGTACACCAAGCAAGACTGGCTACATCATTTGCAGGGACCACTGCAAAATAGAAAAGGTGGGCCCCCTCATTCAAAAATTATTCGACATTTCAAGTCAGTGACAACCGAGTTCTGGTGGAGCTTTTGAAGCTGGGGTACCCTCCGGCTCACCCCATAAGAGCCAGGCCACAAGGCATCAGCTATCAGGTCCCCTCTCTCTGAGCCAGAGGCAACAGCAAACCCAGGCTTCTGGGAACCAGGAAGTCCCACCTTCTAGAACCTTCTCTGCTGCTTGCTACAGGTGACCCCAGACAGATGACCTGCCTTCAGTTTTCTCATCTGTAAACTGAGAGCATTAATCTAACCTGGTCAAGCTGCTCTCGCCCCTCGAGTGTCTACCACCCACCCTTAACCCTCTTTGTCTGAACCTCTGGTATCGCTGAACTACTCAAGGCAACACGCCTGGTCCTCCTGGGCCCCAGGCCCAAGTTCTGTCCCAGCATCACCTTCGAGGCCAATGTGTGTGGCCCAGAAGTGACAAGAGAAGATGGTCTTCTACACACTTGCCTAACACACCAAATCATTCTCTAACTCACCTGTACTGTCTGTCTCCCCCAAGCATCCCAGCCCTAGCACAGCCCCAGCACACAGTAGGTGCTCAATAATGAATGAATTGAATAAGGCGCCGTTTCGGTGGTTTCTAAGGCAAGCGCTGAGTAGCTGCGGACTCACTTGAAAAGAACCGTGAGGACTGAGCCAACCTCATCTCCAGTTCCCAAAGGGTGGCATGTCCTTTTAATGAGTTCCCCATGTGAATGACCCTTCCAGGGTCACCTGGGAAAATGAGGCTCTTTGTAAGTGGGGACTGCATGGGGCCAGCACACTATACAAGTAACAGGCCCTTTGATGTGACAGAGAAGTCTTCACGGAAGCAGAAGCCCTGCCAGGGAGCAGAGGAGACCCTACCCCCAGCATGACCACAGGACCATCCACAGACCTTGGCCAGCCAACAATAGAGGGGCCAGGAAACCACCCGGGGTCAGGCCTCATGCGCTCAGGCAGCAGACGATGGACCAGCAGCCGTGGGCAGAGAGGGAGACAGTGCTTCTAGTGGGCCGCTCACTTCAGACTCTGCCCCACAGAACCCCTACCCCATGGGTCCCATGGCACAAGCCAGCCCACCCAGGAAGCCCCTGCCCTCCCTGTGTTCCCCCCAAGTGAGAGCGGGCCCAGGAGTGGCTACCTCCTGACCTCTCTCCCTAGTCCCCTCGCTGGCCAGGCCTGACATCCCTGGGGATAGGCTGACTCCTAGACTCGTGCAGTTTCTGACCCCGGAAGCACAGACCCTGCACCTGACACCGGGAAATAATGAGGCTCAGACACCACCACAGAGGAGGGGGTGACACGTCATTAAAAAATAACCATAGTATGAGTCTGAAGTACCAAGTGCCTGAGAATTAAAGGGGGCAATAAAAAGGTGGTAAAATACCTAAAGCAAAGGGGAAACAGGCGTGTGGGGAGGGAAATCAACTGAACTCTGTGCAATAAAAACGCTCAGCAAGGACGTGTGCTCTGCCTAAATTTCCACGGGGGTGATTATGGCACGAAGACTCCACGGAGATGGGACGGGCAGAGACCCCGTCCCGCCAGGGCGGCCCCGCCGGTGCCCTCCGTCTCACCTGCCTTGCACGTCTTGCCGTTGTCCTGAAGCTGCACGCCAGTGGGGCAGGCGCAGGTGTAGAAAGGCTCCCTCGGGGACAACAGGCACAGGTGGGAGCAGCCACCATTGTCCTCCTCACACTGCGTGCGGACTGGGGAAAACGGGGAAGGGTGAGAGAAAGTTCCAGAACAGGTCCCGAGAGAGAGAGAGAGACAGACAGACAGACAGACAGACAACCTGCCACCACCACCACTTGTTTCCAAACGAGCTGTACCCTACCTCTTCGGAGCCCACCCCACCCTGGGAGCCCCAGTGTGTCCCTGCTGACCTCATGTGGCTTCGGGGCCGTCACCACGATACCCCATCCCACCTCACTGCTGACCCCCACCACACCAGGCTTTCAGCTTCACCAGACAAGCTGCCATTCCTCCAATTCCTCCCAGCCACGCCCCGTGGCCCAGGTGTGGGCATCTTCGCCCCCCGGTCCCCAATCTCCCACAACAAGAGGCCCTCATCTCCTTCAGGGCCTCCGAAGGACACCTCCTCCGTGAAGGTCGCCTTCCCAGGCAGGATCTCAGGACCCGCCTGTGCGGTAATGCTGGGGCACCCCGAGACAGTGGATTCCTGGAGCAGAGGCCTGTCTTATCTTTGTGACATGCTTGGACCCTACAGGTTCTGCACAAATGCTTGCTGGCCACACCGGACGCTGGGCTGAGCCCCTCGGTGTTGATGCCAATGGTTTTCATACTCCCAAGCCTTTCCACAACAAATATGCAACTGCACAGAATACTCCCAGTATCTCACTCTGCCCAGGGGCAGGGTGGGTGCAGTAGTCCTGAGATGCGGAGCATCAGACCCACTGTAACTGAAGCACACTCACTCGCTGGGGGTGCCTCTCCCCTCCCTGCCTGCACTGCCTGGGGCCTGCAGGTCACCCCAAAGTGGGGATGTGTTAAAGGACCATGGCAATCACCAGAAAGCCACTCCGGACAGCCCTCCCCTTCCTCTCAGAGCTGAGAGCAGGTGCGCCTGGGTCCCCACTCTTAGGTTCAAAGTTTGAACCTTCTACAGCACTGTGGCTAGAAACGGCTGCCCTGGTCCCCATGGGTGCAGGTGAGCCCAGAGCCCTGATCGCATTGGCTTCCTGTCACAGGAGCCCTGAGCCTGTGCGTTTCAAGCCTTTTACCATCAGGGAACCCCTGCAACGATCCTATGGAAACCCTAGACTGAGAACCTTGACTCAGAGATTTTTCATTAATAACTACGTAACTTCCTCTGGAACTTGAAAATGGGGCAACCATCCTTGGTCTCTTTGCCGCCTCCAAGGACCACTGAGTGGGGCCCCCACGCTAGCTCTGCAGAGGAGCCTCTCCTAGGCCTCTGCCCAGCCCGCCCCCGCACTCCACTCTAGCACGCACCCCCTTGTCTGCTCCACTGGCCTGAGGGTCGGCCTCCCACAGAGCACAGGCTCCAGTTGGGGGAAGCCACCAGCCCCATCCCCACCACGCACCCACCCTGACTTACAGTAAGGCTGCCGCTCCGGGCTGAGCACTTGAATGTCCATGGGCGAGTAGAGAGCGCTGAGAATCTCCTTCCGCTTCTCCCCTGTCCTCTTGTTACAGGCGTGAATGGAGCGGGTCTGCCAGTCGGTCCAGTACAGAGTGTCCCCAGAGAGCGTCAGGGCAAAGGGGTGCGTCAGGCTGCCCTCCACCACCTTCTGCCTGCACGTGCGGGAGGCGGAGGGAGAAGCCATCAGTGCCCCCACGGTCCCTCAGCACCCAGCTCTGAAAGGTTTTCACTGTCACTGCTGACCCATTTACACGAAACAGGACAACAGTAGCTGTGATGGAACAAAGTGAGATCAGGGCAGAGCGTCTCAGGAACACTCTCCCAGTGGACACAGGGCACCTTCCAGACCCAGCCGGCCTCCCGCCATCCCTGACAGTGACACCCCCTTTCCCCCCAACACATCCAGCTGCTCCCCGTCCAACCTGTTTGTATTGGGTTGTTGGAAAAGTCATGACGTATTTTTGCAACGGAAAACATAGAAAAAATGCGTCATAACTTTTCCAAGAACCCAACAGAATGGAGGCTGCTGAAAAAGTGCCCCCCAGAGAAGAAGGAAGAAAAGTGGCAAGGAGGAAGCCACACCTGGTGACAAGAGCTGATGACGAGCACGCCTGTCCTGCCCTTATGCTTTAACAATACAGATCAGACCAAATGTACTTGCTCCTCCCTGTAATACCAATCATTTGTATCAGACCAAATTAAACTTGTATCAACACAAGAAAAAACGTTCTCGTCTATGTATTTACAATGCCCAACAAACCACCTTAACGGCTGGCCCCTCACTATAGGCTCCCTGAGGGCGGGGCTGGCGGCTGGGTAGTCACTACCATGTTCCTAAGCCCCTGGGGCAGCACAGGCGACAGTAACACTCAAAAGGTATTTCGGGATACCCCAGAACCATACGCTCATGCTCTTTCTTGATCTGACCTGACATGACCTCTTTTTTGTTTCCTTGATGACAAATGCTTTAAAAAAATGTACTGAGGTGAAATGCACATAACACAAAACCAACCACTTCAAAGTGACTAACTCAGAGCCATGCAGTAAATTCACCAGGCTGTACAACCGCCACCTCTGTCTAGTATGCGAACATTTCCATCCCTCCATAGGAAAGCCTGAACCCACGCAGCAGGGGCTCCCCACCCCCCAGCCGCCACGCCGGCAACCACCAATCTGCTCTGTCTCCATGGACCTGCCTGTTTGGACATTTCATGTGACTGGAATCCTACAACACATGCCTTCTGCGTCTGGCTTCTTTCACTTAGCAGAATGTCTTCAAGGTTCATCCATGGAGCGTGTACAGTGCTGCATTCCTTTTTACGGCTGCAGAATGTGTGTATGGAGAGAGCACCTTTGGCTTATCCATTCACCATCCATCCGATAGTGGACAGACACCCGGATGGTTTCCACCTTTCGGCTACTGTGGACAGCGCTGCTATGGACATTCATGTGTAAGTATTTGTTTCAATGCTTTTGGGTTAATACCTAGGACTGGGCTTGCTGGATCACATGTTAATGTTTACATTCCGAGGCCCATCTGATGGTGTTGTCATTTTTTTATCAGAGAAGCCAGAGACCCATCATTTCTAGGGCTGTTCCACCTCCCCAAGCCCTGCCTCGGCCAGAGGTGCTTTGGGAAGCTAGCACCAGGCCTCGGTGTACCTCGCCCACCCTCACCCCTCCTCTCAGGACGCCCCCTCCCCTCTGGGTGCAGCTCCAGCCATGACCCCTCTGCCTCCCATCAGATCCAAGAGCTCCCCTGGCACCCCAGCCTTTACTGAGTGCTAATTATGTCCAGGCAGTGTGCCCCAAATTCACGTGCATTGCCAAATCGGATACTGTGACTATATCTAGAAAGTACAACCACGACGCTAATTCACATGTGAGGCCCCGAGCCTCAGAGCACTGAAGTGACCCAGCCGTGGTCACAGCTGAGAGGGGGCTGGGCCGGTCTGTCTGGCTCCGGCACCTGTCCTCTTTACCAGCAGACCATGCTTCCACTGGAATAGCCACGGGCACATCCATAAGAGTGTCGGCTACCTGTGGTGAGGCACACAGAGGAGGGGCTGAGAGTGGGCCCTGCAGTCACAGCACCTGGGTTACAACCCTGGCTCTGTCTAGCTGTGTGGCCTTGGGTGAGTTCACATGCCTCTCTGAAATGGAGGATCGTAACAGCAAACACTTCCTAGGGTTGGTATGAGAATGGAATGAACTGATAAAATGTCCTGGCAAACAGCAAGTGCTAGGGAAGAATTAGCCACCATCACCACCCTCATTATCATTATCATCATCATCACCATCACCACCACCACCACCAACACCACCATCATCATCACCACCACCACCAACACCAACACCACCACCACCACCACATCACCACCCTCATTAACATCATCACATCACCATCGCCATCACTAGCATCATCACCATCACCATCACCATCACTGACACCACTGTTGTCACCACCACTATCACCACCACCCCCATTACCATGTTTTAAATGCCACCATCATCCTCACTGTCCCTCATCACAAACCCTCGACCAAGGCACCCCCACCTGCAGCCATTCCAGGGGCTAATCCACCCTTCAGAGCTGCCAGGACCACTCAGATTCCCAAGGGCCACCGTTTCTCAGGCTGGCACGCTTTCTAAATCTCACACCAGGCCCCAGGCCAGTCTGTGCTCACAGGAACAATGGACAACAATGTTTCGAACCAGCCCGCGGGGCTCAGCTCTAAGACGAGGTCCAGAAGGAACTGAGGCCTCATCCCAACAGCCACGACAGCGGATCCTCCGGCCTCAGCCAAGCCTTCAGATGACCACAGCCCCGGCCAGGAGCCTGACTGTCACCTCGGGAGACAGCCTGAGCCAGAAACACCCAGCTAAGCCATTCCTAATATCTGAGCCCCCCAGAAAACTATCTGTTGTTTTAGGTAAGTCTTGGGGTATTTTGCTGTACAGCAATAGATACCTAATACAAAAGGCTGTGTAAAATGTGGCAAACCTGCCGATGCCCTCAAGCCTGTGCGAGCTGGCATCTGACTGTGTTTGCAGAGATCAAGCCACTGAGTCCTCTCCATGCCACCACTGTAGCCCTTGGTAGTGACACCCAGAAACTCCCTGCCTGGGCCAGAAGCCCTGCGAGTGCAGGTACAGGCTTTGTCCTCCTGTGTGTGTGTGTGTGGGGGGGGTCCCCAAGACCTGGCACTGAGCCAACAGGCAGTATGTGGTCAATGAATAAAATGCCCTTCACCCCTACCAGAGGAGACATTCCTAATCTAAAGCATAGTGAAGTAGGGGGACCATTAAGCTGACTGGAAAGCTCTAAAAGCAATTACCCAACAAGGAAAAAAATCCTTCACATTCATTCATTCAACCCATCTCATTGAGCACCTACTATGCATAAGGCCCTCTGGCAAGACTGGGGAATGTAGTGAACACCAAGACCGACCCAGCTCCTGACTTCAGGATGTTTACGTGCTGGGGGGAGGAAGAGGGTGCAGCGACCTGTTCACAACCCCTTCGGACCCTTGGGCCTCAGGTCCACTATCCCTTATCTACAATTCTGAAATCCAAACTTCTGAAAATTGAAAGAGTTGTGTCACTCGTTTAATGGCAAAACCTGTGCATGGATGTGGAGCGATTTATAGCCCTTTCAATTTCACTTAGTTGATGAACATTTTACATTTTGCTATAAAAGTATTCACATGGTAGACGGCAGACGCCCCAGCCCCAGACCTTGCTTGGGGTGTGGTGTTACATGAGGTGTGTGTACTCTTATTACTATTCCAAGCTCTGAAGGGTCCTGAATTCCTCAGGCCCCCAGGATTCAGATATGAGACTATGAAAGATCCCCTGCTAATGCCCAGCTCGGACTAGCCGAGGGCCTGGTGGCAGCTGGAGTGCGGTGGGGAAGGTGGGGGCCCATACCTGGGTGGCCACTTACCGGAAGGAGCCGTCCAGGTTGGCGCGGTGGATGAAACTGAGCTTGGCGTCGGCCCAATAAAGCTTTTGCTCCTCCAAGTCGATGGTCAGCCCATTGGGCCAGTAAATGTCCGAGTCCACAATGACCTTCCGGGTGCTGCCATCCATCCCCGCCCGCTCGATTCGGGGCGTCTCGCCCCAGTCTGTCCAGTACATGTACCTAATGAAGAGGGCAGAGGAGAGAGAGAGCTAACAGATCCGCTCTGTTTTTGTTTTCTGTTTCCACAAATGCAAACAGGAAAAAGCCCAGCAAATGTGCCTTCACATCGCACCCATCAGAGATGACCAATGAATGCTTAGGGGACTGGGGTGTTCTTGCCAGTGACTTGTTTTATAAGCAGTTAGCAATAAACTAATTTTTAAACAAAGCTGGGTAGTCAAAATAAACTGTTTCCAACTTGTTCTCAGTTAGCAACACATTCTGGCCACCCTTTTTTTTTTTTAAGATTTTATTGAGGAACTGGAGGAGGGGAACAGTGTTAGGGAATTGGGGAAGGGAAACAGCCAAGTTGTTGTCCTTCAATCTTAGTTGTGGAGGGCGCAGCAAGCTCAGCTTCAAGTCCAGTCACGCTGCTCAGCTCAAGGTGCTGTGTCCAACTAGTTGCAGGTGGGCATAGCCACCATCCCATGTGGAAGTCGAACCAGCTGCCTCGCTGTTAAGAGTATACACTCTACCCACTGAGCCATCTGGGAGGCAGCTCAGCTCAAGATGCCGAGTTCAGTCTTAACTGCAGGTGGGAGTAGCCACCATCCCACACGGGAGTCGAACCAGCAGCCTTGTTGTTAAGAGCGCACACTCTATCCCGAGCCACCCAGGCGGCAGCTCAGCTCAAGGTGCCAAGTTCAGTCTTTAGTTGTGGGTAGGTGTAGCCCACCATCTCGAACAGGCAACCTTGTTGTTAGGAGCACGTGCTCTTACTAGCTGAGCCATCCTGCCACCTGTTGGCAGCTCAGCAGCAGCTCCGCTCGGGCGCAGCTCACTGGCCCATGTGGGAATCAAACCAGTGGCCCTGCTGCTCAGAGCTCACGCTCTTAAGCTAACTTTATTTATTTATTTATTT